ATACAAATACGGGTGCACAAGATTTATTGGAGTTATTTACAACAAAAGCAGAAATATCGAAATTCCATTTATATATAAATAGATCAAGTTAAATTATTGTGAAAGCATGCTTTGTATGTAAATATTCTAATGATGATTTTAAATTAAATGATGATCCTCAATGAGTAGAAAAAATAAATACAACTTATTGTCAAGCCTTGGAAAGAGGCTTGCAATTTTCAGTCATTATTGAAAATCATTATAGACAAACTTTAAGATATAAGATAGAATGGATTTTTAAAGATACGTCTTTATTACTTTTAGGCCAGGAATCCTCAACCATTTACTACCTCGGGGCACATTTGTAAGTCATTAGACAAACGAAGGGCTCCAATTTGTTTGTATTTTTCTCACTTCTTTTATTGTTGGATATTGTTAATAATAAAATAAATCTTATTCCAGTTCACTTATAAAATAAATAATTATTTAATAATACATTAAATTATATTCACAAGGTAAAATTTCTTTATAAGAAATATAAGGACTGAAGTTAATGTGATTTCTCTTACGGGATCGTGGGGTATTAAGACAAAAGCTGAAATTTGATGTTACATTAATGGATTAATGGATACTAGCAAACAGACGCAAGCTATAGCATGCCCAAAGTACCATTGGTCTGAACTAACGCTATTGATATAAACCACCTTTATTGTTATACTTATTTATATATTACAAAATATTTACAATAATAAAATATACATCTCATTCATACAGCAGTTTCTGTAGTTTATTTCATCGGTCAGTACCTCATTATTTAAGATTCACCCAATTTTAAATAACATTTAAAAATCAGGAAACAATGAAATAAGCGATGAGAACATGAGAAAAAAAATTGGTCCAGTAATTTAGGAGAATTAGGGCGGAGAGACAAAAAAATTCTATGCATCCTGAAACGTTAAACTTCAGATTTTGAGAGGGGGTTAAGTTTTTGAATTTTTTAGTCGATCACAATGGTTGATTATTGAAAATAATAAACCAAAATTGGTTATAAAATTCTCGTTGAATATTACCAACAATGTCACTTTGTTTTAGATGTTAAAAAAGAAAACAAATAAAAAAAAAGAAGCTAAAGATTGACAGAAAAATGTTATAATGCTGTATTGATATTTTAAGGAAATACAAGAATATTTTAGATGAATTACTTAATAGATATTAAAAATGGCCATGGTCATGGATTTGGGGACTCCTCCCTTATGGATATGTCATTGTTTTATTCTTCTTGGGTATTTATTAAGGATAAAAATATTAGAAATATAGCAAAGATGATAAGTTCCAACTCTCACTAAAACAGCCCAGAATGTGTTGATTAATTTATCTATAAGATCCAGATATAACTGTGGGACTACAATATACTAATAAAAAACATGCATATTCAAACAAGAGGGAATAGAAAAAAAATAAGTACATATTAATTAGTAGAGCATATTGTCTATAGACACCATTCTTTATCTCGTCTCGGGTCCACACTACAATGTATATTTCTCAGTTTTATGTTAGGAGTCCACCATGGAGGAGGATATTGTTATCTCGGGAATGAGCTCCTGCTTAGTGCTAATTGCAAGAGAAAGAATGAGAAAACATAAACATCAATGGACGCGCAAAGGGCTCACAGAAGATTAAGACTGGAAGACACCATAGTAATCTTCAATTAGTTTTCAAATTTTCTTGTTAGCCCACATATTTAAAAAAAAACTGTAAAACTTTTAAAAATAACTGTAATCAGCCGAACCAACCACTTGGTAGACTTTAGGCCTGCGATTTTTAGTCTCGAAACAACAAAGTCCGTTGTCCATTAGACAAGGATTAGTCTACACATATGTCTATGTAGACAATCTGAGAAACGTCTCAAAGACCGAAATCACACATATCTACTAGTGTGGACAAGGCTCAAGAATGCACAAACATTTAAACACTCCATATATATATGAAATAAACAAATAAATAACTAATTAAATAAAACAATAAAACTAACATTAATTTTCAACATAATTTATTCTTAAGAATGTACAATTTATACATCTCAAATTACATAAATTAGTTTCCATTAACTTAAAATGGAACCAGGACTTGAGGGAGACCCTGTATTAACAAAATAAAAAATAATGGCATAAACAATTATCAGAATAATTGATTGAATTTCATAATATAAATTAATTACAAAAATATTGAACACATTAATGGATCTTGGCTACAGAAAATGAAAATAAAGTATTTCAAGATTTTATAAAAAAAATAAATAAAAATAATAATAATAATAATAACAATGCAAAATTGATCTTTTCCTAAAATAGCAAAACACATATGGCCATATTTAAATTATTAGTGATAAATAATTTTGAAAAAAAAAATCAATTTTCTGTTAATTAAATTTATAAAAACAATCTTTAAATATAATTCATAGACATAATTAAGCAATGAGGTGGTAGGCACGTTTGTTGCGATTTTGAAAAAATAAAATAAATAGATAAAATATAACAGGTAATAACTAAATATAGTCATATATAAAATAATAAAATATTAAATGCAAAAATGTCATGTATTTACATTTCTGATTTAACTTAGCATTAGTTTTATGGAAAAAGTAATAGAAATAAAAGCCAAAACCTACAAATCAATTTAAATTGAAATTACGAATAGAAGTTTTGTTTGATTTTTGAATTAATAACCCTAATAATAAAAATAAATAAGTTAAGATAAAGAAAGTATAACTTTGTTCCCAATGTCTGATTTAGGAATCACAACTAATCATTACTATTCCAATCTCAAAATATTTTACTCTTACTCAAATATGAATGTATAATATTATGTGTAGCTTTGATTAACTATAAATGTGTAAACAATATTTTACTCGAGTCGTAAAATTTTATTTTACCAACTTTTAAAACGTTATGAAGATGTATTGGAAACCAAATATTACTAATTCAACAATATCGAACATATTTAATAATGATAATTTGACAGTAATATTTTAAATAATCTGAAATTACTACTATTACTCCTCCTAATCCAGATAATATCAGTGTCAAAGGAAATTCAGATGAAAAATATTTTAGAACTTTTTTTTCTTCTCGTAAAGACACCTTTTCTTTTAGCTTACTTTATTTTCAATACTATATAATTTATACGCAGATCAAAGCTTTTGATCTGCCAACTGTGATAAGAGTTAATGAAACAAAGCATCGTACATTAATGAAGGTTCAAATGAGTGGAACTCAACGGTAAAACATCCATGAATATTTTAGTTTTTTTCAATTAGGAAATATTTTTTAGGATTCATAAAAGTGGATGTAATACGAGCCTTAAAAAACAACAATAAAAACTTAACAAAGCAATATAGATTTGTTACTAATTAAAGAAATAACAAAACAAACAATTAAAGAAAAACAAATGTGATAATAATATATTGTCATAATCAAAGTCTTAATTATTAAATAAAGATGAATTCAATAAGTGACTTAAATAGTAAAGGAAGGCATAACACTTTATTAAATAGTGGCTCAAGAAACCTCAACTCAAATGCTAGGTCAAAATGATAATAACTGACCTCATTATGAATGATTTAAATAAACTAGTGACCATTCTTGTTATGAAGAAGTGAGCTCCAAAATATGCTTATCATTAACTTTGGTTTATAATAATAACATTATTATAAATCAACGTAATATATAGACAAATTATTTACTAAATTAAAGTCTATTTAAATACTAGTGAAAGTTGTAACGCTACAATCAAAGTTGATTACAAAAATTACATTACTAATAAAACCACAATTCAATTATTTCATTTTTATTAAAAATATTAATTACAAAGAATATTTTATCAATGACCATATACTAACAGGCTTTTCACTAGGTTATAAAAACCTAATTAGGAACAATACATTGCAAACACACCAGGATAGAAAGATAATAGTTAAAGGTTATTTTACCATCTAATAATAGACAAAGGCCTCGTAAAAGTTTTATAGTATGATATACAATTATGACATAACTCTTAAATCATCTTCCTTTTCCACTCTACTAAAACACACTTGGATATAATTCAGCTTCAGCAATTATATCGCCCATCACAAAAAACAAAATAAATCGGTATTTATTGTCTATTAACAGAACTAAAGAAAAGAGTATTTCATTAACTTTCTAGAGTTTTTTGAACAATACAAGATAAAACTTATTTTGATTTAAATTAACTTGGTTCCTCTAAATAAAAAATAAAAATAAATTAATTTAAATCCGATTGTAGTTAGATCTGAGCAAACATTTTATCAAGAAAATGAATTACGACTTGCTAGTATAATGTACACAATTTTTGTCAAAATCTTTCAATGTAACGTATACTTTTAAATAAACTAATTCAGGGTTAAATACAATAGGTAATATATTACATTGATTTCTATGGTTAAAAATTAAAGCATTCTATACAATTCCTATAAAAATTAGTGCTATAAATACATTACAACTTTTAAAATTTCAAGTAAGTCAGAAGTTTAGTAAACACTATAACAGTTAAGATATTACAAAAAATATCTTCAATGTATAGCTAGTTGTAGTATTTATCCACATGATAAGTAATGGAGAAATAACAACATACTGCTAACAGCATCCTTAAACCTAAAATAGATTAACAAAATAAAAGTCCGATTGAAATTAGCAGAGAGACAGAACATAAAATCACATCATACAAGAAAACAAAAAGAAAGGAGATCAAAAATAAATTATATATTATTTCAAAATAATGTGATAGTACCTGTATACGAATAGAGCTTAATTAATATATTTTACTCTTCTCAATAGAACAGCTTTATGTACATTTATTAATGAATACTTAATAATTATTTAAAGAATAGAATATGAAATAACAGAGATACGTTTATTTACAAACTGAATAACACTCTTAAAAGACAATCACCGTATGCTTTTTTTTTAGTAATTTTTTCTTTTCTATTTTTTTTTTTTTTTTTTGAAATGACCAATAAACAGCAGGCAAATGATATAAGGTTGGTAACAGGTACTATTTTAGACAGAAAATGCATTATAAAATGTTTTCATCTGTCAGACCGTTTCTGAAGAGCCAGTTCGATATGTTACAGTCGCCTCTTCAGTTTACCATTGTGCTCCAGGTAGGCTCAATATTAACACCTTCAGTATTTTCATAAAATACATTTTCATTATTCCATCCAAATTATTAAGATCTTGATTTCCTAAGTCCCTGTAAACAGTAAAAGTAAAAAAAACATAATAATAACGATAAAAGTAATAGAGGGATGGATTAACCTATTTTATACTAATTTCTTTTGACATACGTTAAGAATCGAAAAGGTATTTATTTAACGCATGTTATAGAACTGATCGTCAGTGACCGCAGTCAAATGTACCTCATTTATGATTGGTAACCTCTTGTGAGTGAGTTTAAAATAAATAGCTTCTGAAAACTACCATTCAGAAAAGAAAAAGACTCCCAAAATATTGTGTCAAACAAACCCTACAAGAAAAGCATAGCTGACCAGAACCAGTTGGCGACCTAACTTAACGCAGGATCAACACAATAGGAGAGAAAATCTTTAGGTTCCAATTCATGTCATACTGGTACAAAAGCTAGGAATATTTCACATATAAACCATGCAGTTAAAATGACTGGTAATTTACACAAAGTATTTACATTTTTTTTTTAAATTTCTGAATGTAAAATTACCAGTGCTGATGTCCCATTTCTACGTTGGCAGGTATCACAAAGATAGGCTCCTCAATTCGCTCAATAGTTGGTCTTCCTTCTTTATCTTTTCTAATTGGTTGATCTCGAGTTGTCGCCCACTCTTCTGCTGTTCTTTTAAACGTTCAATTTCCATCAATTTCTAGGAAAAAACAAAAATCCACATTAATTCAAGGAATAGCAATAATCACTGGACAAAAGTAGATATTAGTTGATCCTAAAAAATATATATATTATCATAGCAGTATTATAATATCTATTTCAAGAGTAATAAGTTTGATATTTATTGTTAACTAAATACAATAATTTTTTTTTTTGTATAATAGCTATTTTCTTTCTTCAGTATAAGAAAGAGTTTGGGCATTACTGTTGTCAGTTGTTTAGTTTACCTGTGTAATAGATTTAAGAAGAATCCCTGTAAAATGAGATCAATGTGGACAAAACCTAGCTGATATTAATAATAACTTAATAATACACTGATATAATCAAGTAAAATCATTAGAGCTGTATATCACCGTTGATATAAATTGGCACTTCCGGTTAGCAAAAAATTAAGGAAAAAGTTCCAGTCACATTGGAACCATATATAAACCTTCAATATGAAATTTAAGTTTCGTATGACTTTTCGTTTTTGAGCTAGGCTGTTCGCACACACACACACACAGACCATATTTCGGAACTTGGTTATTTGGACTCAGGGGACCTCAAAACATGTATTTCCATTGAAAACTGAGATTCAAAAAATTTCATGATCGCAATACTTACCCTTATTATATATTACATATATACGTAAGTGAAAGTAAAAAAATATTCATTATCAAAACAAATTTAGCTTTTAACGTAGTATTAGTAGATTAATAAAAGCAGATTAAAATTAAACAATTTTAAATTTATATAAAACTTACACTCCTCAGCCTTCCTATTTTCTTCATTTTGACAGGATCATCTGTTGTAAATTCCTCCAAATGAGCCTTCAAACCATTATTAACTGCTCCTGTCGTTGGCGGCCTCTCTGGGGACTGATCATGTTGTGCTGCTTTTGCAGCTTTCTTTGCTTCTCTCTTCTTTTTTAACTTTAAAGCGGTCTTGGACTGCTGAGCTAAAAAAATAAATAAATAAAAGACCTAAATTTTGTGCGAGTTTTGTACAGGTGAGAAGGAAAACTTTTCAGTTGTGCACTGTATTCTAGGGTATTAGTCATTGCAGAAATGATGAGCACAACAGCAACTGTCACTAACAAATTCACAAAAGCGGAACAAAACCTTCTTTAGTAACGATGAATAGCATACTGACTAGGGAACGGTAATTCTATACCACTTAATGGCAAAATATGATACAACAACTCCACCCATTATGAACATCAGTTACGTTTTTTTTTAGGTAACCCCATATACAGCAAACTGTCTTTCTTAAATACTAAAATATCTATTTTTTGATTGAGATTTTGCTTCCAACATTTAATTATAGTATTTCATGAACCCCATCCACTCAATAAAGAATTTAAACACTATCTGCATATTTGTGTTATCATATTTAAATTCAAAACGGTTCATGCTATAAACATTTGAAAACAGTCGTGAACGTGAAGGAGCTTCTAAGAGTACGAAAATTAATCAGAATAATATTTACATTAAATTCTAAAATTACATGGTCATTATCATGTCCAAAGGAAACAAGATGCTTTCTGAAGGCTTCATTTACTAGTTTTGGCAATCATTGTCAACAAAAGATGTAACTATGTAATTGGAAAGAAGTTTATCTATGTTCGTTAGTGTGCAAGTCATACAGAAGTCTGAACTCTGGAAATATCAAGTAACTTATAAAATTAATCTATTAATCATCCTTTTTCTAACCATTGGAGAGCAACATTTTTACTTTCTTGGAAAAAGTGAACTGTTATTTAAGTTTTAATAGTATACTTATAGTTTATAATTCAGTATGGCATGCACTGAATAAAATACTTACATTGCTGAGGTGGAGTTTCATCTTCATGAAGTTTAAAGTTTACAGTTAGCCCTCTAGCAACAGGTGGCCTATAAACTTCTTTGGAAGCTGCAATAATAGATGTTTAAGTTTATATCAAAAGATCAACACAAAATTTAAAAGTAGTAAATATTAATACACTAGCTGTACCTAGCCATGTGTTTCGGTGGCTCATTCTGGTTAAACAAAAAAAGAAGAAAAAAAAATCGGATGTTTGTAATACATTAACAAGTAACAATACTTGTGAATATGCGATATTCTTTGTTGTTCTATTCTTTCTATAAATATAGATATTGTCTAGTTTTTAACTCTAGAATTCGCAACATATAATTGTCTATATAAGAAGCAATCAGTCTCTAAATCTCCGAAGAAAAATTACTAAATGTTTAAAGTATTAAATCTCTGCAACAAATTATCCGATTTTTTTTTTATTTGCAGGGAATCAACGAAGCTTTCAAATAATGATGGGTATAATCAAACAAAAATATCGTACTTTTTGAGTTATTCGTAAATATAATTTTGAACCCATCTTAACTTTTTTTTAATACTCTTTTCGGGAAAGGATGTAATATACATAAATTAAAAGGGCTTCAAGGAGAAGACTTTAGCCAAGTTTAATTAAAATTGTTACAGCCGTTTAGGCGCTACGGTCTATAGCAACACAGATTTTTCGGGCGCCTTTCCAAAACAAATGACCGGAGTGTGATTAAATGTATATAAAAACACTCCTGAATACGATAGAAATATTTCAAAGCAATTTCAGTGATTAGGGGTTTTAAACAAACAAACATTTACGTTTTTATTAATATAGATTAACAAAATTCAATAATTGAACAACTTGGTTAATATTTGATAAATAATTGTCAAGAAAAAATAAAAATTTTAAACAAAACATAAGAAATGAAAATTATTTTCAACATATAAAATGAAAAATGCCAAACATGAAATATCATAAATAAAGATCAAGATGAATTATTTATGAGAACACATTTATTATGACAGGTCAACAATGATCACTTTCTTTCTCAAGACAGTTGAAGGTGGTTCAAGAGATTCAAAAGTAACGCTCAAGAAAAAGAATATCGATAATAACAATCAAAATTTGGAATTATATATATTAAATTTGATAAAATATATAATTTTATTTTTGCAAGAAGTCAAGTAGATATGGATGTTAAATCATACCTTGGGGTTGTGTAGGAGCAATTCCTTCAACAGGTTTATAACTGATCAAAGGAGGCTTAAAAGTCCCATCTGGGAAATTTTGCCAGCAAACCTCCCACAATTCTTCCTGTTTGTTCCATGGTCTTTCATACAATAAGGTACCACTATAATGCCACATTTTGAAACTGAAACAAAGAAGTAATTTTCAGTTTGATAAATTAAATAATAGAGAAAACAATTAAATATAAATGTCAGGCCATAATTAAATATAATAACTTAATCATAAAATCATATAAATGGGTTGATTTAAATAAAATATCACATTAATTGGCTAACTACTAACTATATAAATATAATAGATGCTCTTTAATCCAAACTAAGGGGATTCAGATTAGCGAAAAATTTGGATGGGCGAACCATAAAAAAAATATAACAGAACTATATAATAAAATTATTATTCGAATGGCTGATCATTCTACATAAATTTATTTTCATGTAATTTTCTGGTGATATAACGAGAACATTTTCATGCTTTGTAAAAATGAGAGTATCATCAACCATCAGAGATAATAACATTCTAGTTACACCTCTTTCAAGGCAATTGATTAACATGAGAGTCTTCTTTAAATTATTGTATTATGATATACTTATTAATTTATAGATAAACTCACCCATTACACATACGTAACCTAGGTGCAGTGGTTGCAGTTAAAAAATGTGTTCCTTCGGGGGACCAAACCAACAATGTTGTGTCAGCAGCTGTCATTTTATTGATAAGTTTTCGAGCTGGAGCTTCCCAAAGCTCCACAGTTCCTGGAAGGTTACCAAAACCACCCAACAAGAGAAGTGCAACAAACACATTAAGGAAAAACATATGATATTTAAATATTATTCAATATAATGTACTTATAATTGAATAAACAAGCATAAAATTTAAATTTAGTATAATTGAGCTCATTACAATTATATATATCACCACATATATTATTAAAGTAAGGCTCGAAATCGGTTTTGTACCAAATATAAGCTGCTGTCATGCTCAAATACCATGAATGGGGTACCATTGGATTCAGAATTTCACGGAGGGTTAGCGAATCGTATTCACCACTTTTGTTTTTCTTTCTAAAATAAATAAAGTTGATACAAACATTTTGCTAGGCTTCAATACATAGGTCTGTAGATCGATGAGGGACAAATTGGACCTTGAAGATTTTGATGCGTACAGAAAGGCGAAGATTTTGATCCTGCGTTTTTAAGCCCCAAAATGTACTATTTTCGAGATAACACAAGGCATCGAATTTGCATCCACATAACCTGACGTTAATTGTACTACTGTCATTGGATACATGTCTCATTTCGTCGACTTGAGGCCTCTATGATCGAGACAGGAGTTTATATTATTTATCGATGGTGTTTTTGATTGGTATCATCGTTAATTCTTCACCAAATTTCAAGAATGAGCCACCAATTTCGAAGGCTTCCTTCTCCTTCAGGCAGCAAAATAGTCCAATCACCCCGAAAATTCAGGCAAACAAGTTATGAAAGAAATGAAACTTTATTTGGGAATAACTAAAAAATTGCACACTTTTCCCTTGGTTATTCCCATGATCATATAAAACATTACTAAATTTTCTACAAAAGGAAAAAAAAATCATTGATATCAGACAATTTTTCATAAAGATACAGCTTATTGAAATTTGTAAATATGTTGGTTCCAAACAGAAATGAAGATTTAAATTAATTTTGTTTCCTTTGTCGATAAAGTAATAATTGACACCTTTATTTTTTGATACGTTGCATTATTATTCTTATTAATTTGGCATTTGATAACAATATGCTGTGCGAATTTTTTGCATGGGCCAATAGTATATATATATATAAGATTCATAATTAAACATAAAAGAAAAATACATATATAAAATAATTAGTAAATTGTACTGCAAGATAAAGTAAAATAAAAAGGATATTGTTTCCATATGGGTTATAATATATACTGTTCCTAGGCCCAGATCCCAATTCAAAGACTGGTTCACATTTTAGATTAAATAAAGTGGCTTTAGCAGGCATGAATCCATAAACTACACAAAATTCGTGTGACTGAGGGGACCAAGCAACACAATGGATTGGACCTTCTTTACCTGTGGACAAACATCATAACAAATAAAATAAAGCTCTAATATTAATTTAAATTTTGAATTAATAAAATAATATGATTTGCAATTAATTAAGGATTCATTGAAAAAAAAGGTAAACAAATTAAGATATACAAGTGAAGACATGTAGAATTCATGACTAGAACACATATCACTGGCTGCCATATCTATATGCATTATTTTGTCTTTTGGCATACGTGACTTAAGTGGAACATTTCAATAAGTGAGAGGGAAACAGTTCAGCTTGTGCTTCGCATGAATTTTTTAGGTAAATGATGGAGTGAGAGGTTTATATTTGGTTTATGAGGAATGGGGAAACAGCTTGGTTAGAGGTCATACCCTGTTCTGTCAATGCAGACATGACCAAGCAAGAAGTATATCCTTGAGTTGCTATAACCATTAAATTCTAAACCATTAAGGCTTTAAATCCTCCAAAACTTTAACTAGTTTAAAGGAAAAGTTAGAAGACAATACACTGTCTGTCACAGTTTATACATGGACTAAAGAATTCAAGGATAGGTGAGAAAAGTTAAAAACAAAGTCATGATTGAAACTAAAGGACATTATACCCATGATAAAATTTCTGCTGTTAGACACATACGGGCTTCAGAAAATGAAGTGCTGCAGAGATTTCAAGGTCCTTGACCAAAACATAAAGATCAGGTCGAAGATCATTGAGAGAGTCAATTTCGACAAGATGGAAAGAATTTTTTTAACCAAATTACTACATCTCATGAGACATGGGTCCACCATTACATGCCCCACTTGAAGATGGCTAGTAAGGAGAGCAAAAAAAAAAGATAAAAGCTAACCAGAAAATAGAAAAACTCCTCTCAGAGCCAGAAAAGTTCTTGCAATGATTTTTTAATTACTCAAAGAAAATTTTTCTAGATAATTTTCTTCATAGTCAAAGAACAGTAAATACGGTTAACCATTGCCAGTTATCACAGTTAGAGGTTTTATCTTTTTCATTACAACAGCTGGCCTAACACTGTTACCTTGTCTACAGATAAATTGAAAAAATATGCTGAGAAACTGCTCAACACCATCTTCATAATCCAGATTAGTTCCGAGGGACTTTTTCTCTTTTTTTTTTTTTTGTTTTGTACACTTGAAAGAAACACATATAAGAAGAGAAGGATTCAAAAGCAATTTGTGGAGCAAGTGTGCATTTGACTGACAAAGTCATCACCTTAAAATTTTGTAAGGGCAAAAAATAATTTACAAATCAATAAAATAAATTTAAGAATAAAATATTTACCGAGTTGAACAATCGAATTTTCTCCTTTTGGAGTAATAAAATGGAGAGTTTGTTTCCCATAATAAGAGCTGCCACTCTTGTCAACTTCAACGCTCGTCATTAGAAGAACACCAGTACCCTTTTTGTTCCAATACATATCTACTTTATCTGCCTGTCAATAATAACAATAATAATAATAACTAAATTTTTCAAAGAGAGAATACATTTAGAGTGGATAAAAAATTACCTGGAAAAAACTCTTACAGGCAATAGGCGTATCGAATTTGGGATACTGAAATAATTTTCCTAACGAAGGCTGTCCCTGTTTCCCTGTAAAATGAAAATGTTAAAGAAATAGAGAAATGAGTAAGAACAATATCATTATGATAAAAATAACAGTAATTTACCTGGAACATAGCATAATACATAATACGGAGAGCCAGCAGGTGAAATACTATACTGGTGTACCCTTTGATTTGCTATCCTATTTTCGATTTCATTTATTTTCTCTGGCTTATAAAATAAAACATCATTCTTCACACTTCTAGAAACAAGAGTTTCATCGCCAGTCCAAATAGGTTCCCTACCAAAAGGAATAATAAAATGGAAAATATGCTTTAAGTATGTTCTATATCACTATAGAACCAAAATAAAATATTTCCACTCATAACATATATCTATACAGCCCACACTATGAAACTTAGTCATTTTAATGGAATAAAACTACATCAATACGATCTAAATTGATAATGAACAAAAGGTGTATTACTCTGCATAGATAAATAGAAAATGTCAGTGCCTTTTACTTGCAAAAAGGTAAGGCAACCAAATAAACAGGACCATATATAAGGGAAGTATGTTGTGAAATAAGTAATTACAGGTATGATCGTTTTGATTTAGCAAATAAATAATATATAATTTAAAATTTCAAGTAAACATTTAAAAGATCAATTTTTTTAAAAACAGTACCATACTGATGGTAAATGTACAGATACATAGATCTACCCTTCTGTATACATTCATATTATACATCTTTCCTATAAAGGCTCCTTATGTAAATCATGTCAAAGGAAAATAGAACCAATGCTCTAGTAAGCTGTTTTATTTTAAGCTATAATTTCTTTAACAAGACTATACATTAGTTTTCTAAATACTTTAAGTAGGTGTTCTGAATTGGTCTAAAATATAAATATTTGATGACATTAAAAAATCATTAATCCAATAAAAGAGTATAAGATACCACTTATTAAGTGTTACAGAAACATGATGGATGGGTACAAGATCACACAGTAGATTGAATTCTGAAAATGACCAAGTATTTATAAAATTGTTCAGAGGTGTAACCTTTCTTCATATAGATCACGGCAATCCAATTCCACTTGCCTAAAAGAGGAAATGAATCCTTTTCAATTGAGTTTGTGGTCTTAGCAAGAGGACTGGACGCCTTTCAATAAGAAACGTCTTCCGCACAAAAACAGCTGTAAATTTTTAAATAAATAGCCCTGTTTTTTCAAAATAAAATTTAAAATCTATAACCTCTAGATTACCATAACATACAATTTTGTATATAAACAACTTTAACATATCAAATGTCTAAGTTTAATGCAGGTGAAGATTTTGTTTCCAAAAAATGTTTGTTAATTTGTTTATTCATAGAGCTTTACGTTATAGAATAAAAAAAATATATATATATATATATATATATATATATATATATATATATTTACATACCAGCCTGTCTGTTTCTTCTGTTCAAATGCAACTAAATGCTTTCCTGTTGCAGACTCATAAATATTTAAATTAGGAGTGCCTTCAGGTTTCTCCTGAGATACTGAAAATCGTTTCAATATTAGGAAAACATTGGTTTAAAAAGTACTTCTATTAAATTTAATCGGATATGAACAAACCTGCGAAAGTCTCCCAAGTCATAAGGTAAGTACCTTTAGGTGAGAACTGTAAAGTACATACCCGAGGTCTATCCATTTCAGCCAAAACCTCCCAAGTGGAGGTTGAAACTATTGTTACCCTAAAAAACAATATTCAAGTTTTTTATTTATAGCTGCAACAATTTAAAACACAAGTTATGTAATAATGATCAAAAGTAAAAATTAACTTTTTAAAGGAAAAGAGAAAATAGTGATAGGTAAGAAAATGTACAACTTAATGTTTCAAAGTGAGGTTGTGATAGCAATAAACCTAAAAAGACAAACTTCAACATGCTCCTCTAGTAAAATTTCACTTTTTCTGGGCCACACTCTTTTTAAGAAAAACAATACATGGAGCCAGTCAATAAGTTGAAAAAAAATGTTACTGACTCAATAAGAGTAATCATACGAAGTGAGCTTAATATATTTGTCTCTAAATATGTTTGATATTATCATAACCCTTAACCTGGATTCCTAAATCTTATAACTTAATTTTTTCAAAGAAATGTTTCAAATTTAATTGGAAGTTAAAAGCATTCATTATTTGCTGAACCGAAAAGGTGCACAAACTACAAAGTTTTCAAAGCAATTTTTAGGTTCTTAGAAAGATTAACTGATAATAAATGCATCAAACTGCAAGATCCTCTCACAACTTACTTGAGATATAAAACATATTCAAGAGGTTTTAAAATAGACTAATAAAGATATAAAATATAGGAATATATGAAAATTATTAAATTGACAGTTATGTGAAATTCTAATTCGCAAAATATAAACCATAGAGTTTAAAACATAACAAATTGGTTAATAAATTACGAATAAACATAATCACTCAAAATAATACATGCAAAAAGTTGACAGCAGAGGATCTATGAAAACAATTATTATTTTTGATGATAAACTTGGTAATTGGATTGAAAAGAAAAAATATACTTACTTTTTTCCATTGGCCCAGGCAAAATATTCACCTTGAGGGCTGAACAGCATACATTTACAGGATTTACTATCTTCTCTTTTAAAATTTGAAATAAGTTCATAATTTGGTGGACCATGATGAATTGAGATCCCTGTGGAACCACGAACTGGAAAGAAAACAAAAATATAACCAACATATAACCTTCCATTAATTGACTTTCACCGAATCATGTGCAATGTAAAATCATTAACAAGCTTACTAAATGGGTTTTTATTTACTTTAATTAATAAGATGGAGAAATGAAGGATTCTGATTAGAAATAGAAATAATACAACAAAACATCCACCATACTATTTCGATAAAATTACATAATAAAAATTGACAGAACACGAGACATACACCTGACTTGTTTACAAACTAAAACCTGTACAATATCGACAATATAATTATGTAAATTAGTGTTGTTTGAGATTAAACCTTTAAAATATGTTGGCTAACGAAAAGGATTTACTATGCAATGATATAATTTACATTAGCTAAACATACTTCAAATTTTAATGATTGGATAATTGTGTAATTAACATGTTCGTAAGGCAGAAATAGGCTTGTGACACATAATAAATAATGAAATCCAACTAATATGATCTGAAAGAACATACCTGCAACTACAGGAGCAGCTGACGCCATGTTACTGATAACAGGATGCCATGTGCTGTTATAAAAGCCAAAATTAAATATTAACTTTTGTAATTTACATTTTCTGGAATATAGAGGTAGAAAATAAGTGATTTAGACACTTATGATTAAAGGAGTAATATGAATATCCTTTAGAAATCATTTAGATATCATGAAATACCATCCTCAGAAAGCGCCATTTTCAAATGCCCATATGGGAATAAATTATTCAATTTTTAACGTTTCTTTTATATATATATATATATGTATTGAAAATAAATTTGTTTAAGCATCGGAAACCAATTAGATCAAACATTTTTAATCAATATGTTTATATACATAAGTTATGATTTTTTTTTTTAAATTGTATCTAAAAAAGTAATAAGATTTTTATTTATTTCATCAATCCAGGTTGTTAATTGTAGGTTGAAACAATCGCAGCCCGATTCAGATAAATGACTGCGGCGTTATTTTAAAATGACCTATAAAATGGATCACAGTGAAAAACAAAGTTATTGGTAAATTTTTAAAAGTAATTAGTTCATGATTATATTGCATTGAAATCGATTGATCCATTTTAATTTCAAGACATCCTGTTAACATATTCTTAGCTGCAAACTAGTAAAAATAAGCTAAGAATTAAATATTAAAGGTAAAGTTCTTTATTTCCAATTAATCTCATTGCGAAATTGATAAAGCCTTGTTTTCTCATAATCACATCACTCAAACTTGGAAATGTTATTATGTATTTAGTTTACTTCAAAACCAGTGTGGCAGTAGTGGGGGAGACTGCAGCTTAAAAGAAGTTAAATCGGATTCTCACTTTGGTCTACTGTTTTTTATTTTCACTATTTATGAAATATATAGTGAGGGAAAGTGGGGCCGAGGTGGTAAATTGATGTAAAAAATTTGTAAAAAGCTGCAAAATTTTTATGCTATGAGTTTAAACCCCGTTCGCGGGGTTTAATAACAAAAAAAAAAAGATAAAAATATAAATAATAATATAAATAATTGCCAACGATTCTGATGAAGAGGGAGTGATTGTGATCGCGTCCGGTTATTATAAACCATATGCTCCCTGGATATCATCTACATAATAAGAGAACCAAACGATTACTGCTTATCGCCTAGAACAGCTCCGATGCTGCGAGAAGACTAATGGCGGATGTCAAAAGAGTCAAGAGGGGTAAAAAAAAAAGTATTGAAATGGTGAAAATTTTCGGATCTGAGTTTTCTATGGAAATACACGTTTTGAGGTACTCTGAGTCCAAATGACCAAGTCCCGAAAAATGGTCTGAGTGTCTTTGTGTATGTGAACACTAGCTCAGAAAAGGAAAGTCGTAAGAAACTAATATTATGTATTTAAGATAGTTATATCTCTTAGATGTCACAGCAACTTTTTCATTAAAATCTGCTAACCGGAAGTGCCACTTTATATCAACGGTGAAAAACATTTTTAACACTTTTCTCAAAAAACGGCCCAAACGATTTTGATTAAATTCGGTATGTCATTTTATAATTAAGTGGTCTTTAATATCATTAGGTCTTATCCCCTTTGTTGTCACTTTACAGGGCTCAAATGACCAATGTTCATATACATCTTCCTCTAAAGTACCTTTAATATGGTTTATTTTAAATAATTAACTATGTCTCATTATTATGAGTTAAATATAAAGAAATGCTAAATATAACTTTTGAAAGAATTTGATAATTGAATAAAGGAGAAAAAATAAAAATCTTATCCAGATCGAAAATGAATCTCTGGAAATACTAGTCAGAACGTATAAGTATAGTATATCGTTAGAAAGCGGAGAATTTTAGGAAAAACAATATCAAATATAGAAAGTTGTAGAAGGCAACGGAGAGTTGCGAAAAAAAATATAAATAGTAATCTCTTAAAGCTAACATTATTTAACGTAAATTACATGTTTTCAAGGAAATTAAATTAAATTTACTAACTAAATGTAACCTTTTAAAATATTTTTAAGTTTGAAAAAAATATTTGAAATCCACCTAATCAAGGCAAAGACATTATTTAAGAAACTATTTCATTTTACTTGTGTGAAAGAAGAAAATATAAAAGTAAGTAGAGTATAAAATAATTTCATGGATGTATAAAGCATATGTTTATAACCTTAAATACATTTACTGTAGTTTAATAATTCTAGATCTGGCATTATATTTAAATAATTAGGTATCAACGTCCGTTCATTCTAAGTACAAATTTCTTCAGCGGCTCTCTTTTGCGCTTAGACCTCTTTTTGCAATAATTTGTTTTAAAAAATAAATAAATAAAAGATCCCATAAAGCCAAATCAAGTCATAAAGAATAAACAGATTAGTCAATAGTAAGGACAAAAAATACAGTATTAATTATGAGAGTTAGAATTAAGGGCTGTGTTCTTACACAAGAACTTTCACAAGTACACTATTTTTTTCCTACAAACGAAAGACCGGAAGTACCAACTTATATTATTGATTTTACATATTTTTCCAATTTTCTGGAACACGCTTTTTTTTTTTTTTTTTTTTTTTTTTTTTTTTTTTTTTTTTTTTTTTTTTTTTTTTTTTTTTTTTAAACTCGTTATGTCAACGTAAAATTAAACGATCTTTGATATCATCTAGGTCTTATCCTCATTGGAACATCAAGACAAGATTTTCAAAATATCTTTAACAGTATAACTTTCTCTCATTGTTAATAATCAATAAAAAAAATAGCTCAATGTAAACTATGAAAGAAGTTTTTTAGTTAACTAAAGGAGAAAAAAAATTAGAATTTTTCCTCCAAGTTGAAAACGAATTAACGGCAATAAATGCCAATATGTATAAATATAATGTAGAGCTGGAAAGTTGAAGATTTTAGAAAGCATAATATTTAACTTATAAAGAAGGAGAAGTTAATAGTGAGCGACAAAAAAAAAAAAAAAATCGAATGCCTAATTGCTTTATTTAATAATGTATATTTCAATATATATATTAAATTAATATAATTAACATTAAAGTTGATCATCATTTATTAATGCTTACATAATTATTTTAAATTAGAGTTAAACAAAAACTTGAAATAAATAAAGAGATGGGAATGTGTAAATTGGTGGAATGGAGGAAGCGAAAAAAATCAAACAAAATTTTTTTTGATGTAGAAATATTTGTTTCCGCTTTTGCTTCCTTCCTACAAAAGGTAGAAAGCTTTTTATAGTGTTTATTGTTTTTATCTTAATTCAGTACCATAACTTGAGTTAATAGATAATGATACAGAATTCAAAATATATTACGTAAAATATTTATATATAATTTTGAGTTTTATTGAAGAGGAGGAGGTGGGAAAGATAAAAATAGGCTCTCCCTTCGAAAAAATCCTAGTTTTGGCCCAAAGGGGAATTCAGATAAATAGGATAACAGATACAACGCAGTACGTTAATGCAACTGAATAGAGAAGTTACTGGAGACCATGTACGCAAGTTTAATGTATATAACTATATTTGCTTGTACGTTGGGAGAGCCGTGTACACTTTATACTGTCAGCATCATTTAACCCGCAACTGTTCCGAGTGTTGAGGTAACGGTATTTCAAATCGTATCGCATACCACTCCCCTTCCAATGATCCTGTCTATTATTTACGACCCCAGTTTTTAAAATACAACACATTAAACAGTCAATTTATAATGAGACAAGTAAATACGACTTTTAAAACTTGTATTTTATTATTTCTTTTTTATGCTTCCATTTCTTTTTTTATAAGTCCATTTTACATGTCAAAAGACAATGGTCAAATTTAAAAAACATGTTTAATAAAAATTAATCAATAATAAATTTTAACTTTTTTAATTTTATTTATTTATTTTTTCATAGCCCATTTTTATTTATTTTTGTCTTGAATTCTTGGATTTTCATTGTCTTCATAATAGTCCGTTTACTGCTTAAAAGCATTGTTTTTTTTGTCGTTTCTGAGTATTTTGTTCTTCATCTGTAATATAAAAGGTGATGGGGCTCACCTCAGGCTTCAGTTGACCTTATCCTCTAGAGCTTACAACTAAATTAATAAAACATCTATCTCATGTGATGAGTTGCCAACGTTTAGAAATTTTGGCTGGTAATAAGTTGTTAAAAAGAGGGTTTGCCAATTGTTGGGATTTTTCGAAAAATTTAAAGAAGTTTAAAAAATCCATCAAATATTAAAACCAAAAAGTAACATTAATTAATACCGAGTAAATAAAATTTAATTCTTTAAAAATATTTATCATCTATTAAGTTATAAAATAATATTGGCTATATAAGAAAGAATATTTTGTTAAAAATAAATATTTCCTTTTTCCGAAAAAGAAGTTTGAAAAATGGCACCTTTGTTATTTTCGAAAGTGTTAAGACATCAAATTATGGCGTGATTGCTCACATTAAAACGGTTTAGAAATTGAGCAATTTTTTCTTTCCATATCGGACAAATAATTATGATAATAAACATTTATTAGAAATAATTTAAAGACAACACTGAGTACCTATATCACAGTTTTGTGAAGTAAAAATTGTTTGTTCACACTAAACCAACAATTTTGTAATTACGATTTACAGTAAATACTTTTCAAATTGGGCTATCGGGGACCCAAATGGCACCTACAAAGTATGGCGACCAATTACGTATTTTCAATACGATCGGAAGAACAGTGTTGCCTTAGTACAAGAATTCTTGTAGTAATCTAATTACGATTTTTATTTTATGATAAATCGAAAACATTCATTTATGGTCAACTCATGATTAAAACGTGTCTAGATATTTTTTTTATTTATTTATTCAGAAATATTACATTCTGTCACAATTAAGGACATTTATAATAGTTTTCAGAGAGCACACTCGCACTCTATTTGCAATAAATAAAAATAAATAATACAGAAACTCATAATAATAAAAGTAAATGTATATAAACAAAAGAACTAAACTAACCAAAATAACAACTAAAACACATGCATGAAATATTTTTAAAACAATAAATAGTTAAACAGAAAATTTAATTTAT